AAATATTCTGACACTTATTTACAAATACGAAGAAAAATATTTTGCTGTGAGTAGAAAGAAACAATAATCACAACCGCTAGAGATTTGCAGCCATGCCTGCACATGGGATCTACATGTAAGTGCACATAAGCCCATACAGATAGAAAAACTGTGTATAGGTACATAAACAGTAGGTCCCAGCTAAGGAATATGAGAGAAGTCTAGTTATCCAGGACAAGACACAGCTATGCTGCCTTATTGATACATAGATAAAGCAAAGGGAATGAATTATCTTCTGATCTCTCACCTGTATTGGACAGGTGGAAAACAGGTTTGTAGAAATCTAAGGAACTAGAATTAAAGTGTACCTTAATTAATTTCAACCACTGATTGTTTCAGCCCATTTTCTGGGTACTTTGAATTCAATTTAACACGTGAAGACCTAATTTTATACTCAAGAGGACTTGGTACTCTTTACGTGTTAAACTGAATTAATTTCCTGAGAAATCCTTCTCATACATACACTTCTGTAATCATAGCTGTTCAGTCAATAACGAGTTTCTAAAGTGTTTATTATTATGTCATGCACATAGTTTAATAACAGAAATCTGAAACACAAAATATACTAACATACTGTAAAAGAAGCATGTCTCCTTCTGTAGATTGCTATGCAGACTCTCAAGTACTGTGAATTTAAAGAGTTCTCTCAAAACCACTCTTGTTCGGCATGGTATATTTGAATATGAATCTTGTGGCAGATGATTCCCATCCAGTCTTACAGAGTATCTGGGGAAATGTCCACATTTCTTTGCTTTTAATTTTAATACTCACAAGCTAGTAGGAAAAGGCCATTAATACAGTGCTACAGAGCTGTTCAAGGTACATCCTGAGTAGCTTCTACCCAAAAAGGAAAACTAAGTCCCAAGTATCCTTCTTTTTCTGCATATGACTTCCCTTATTAATTTATTAACACAAATATAGCTGTACATATCGGACTCAATTTAACCAAGCAGCTAATACAATAGTTTGTATGCTGTGAGCAACATTTGTTGACTCCAAAATGAAGCAAAAAAAAGCCACTTCAACCTTCCCACCTTCACTCGGATCTTGACCAGAGTAGGGGGAAACCAAAGGCCAAAGTCATTACTCATTATCTCATAAAATAATCTGATTATTTTCTTGCCATGGTTTCTCCTGCATGCTTCCTTTCTTGACTGCTAGCAGCAGCTTTGGTTACTGCTGTTCCTTCAGTTGTATAAGCAGCCTGATGCAAGGTGGCAGGCAGGGCATCCACACCTGGCTGGCAGGGGCCCTGCAGCATCACAGTGTCGGCAGGAGGCGTCATTGTCTCTCCCCTGTAACCGTCCCGTTCCACCCACGTGCCTGTTACACCAGCAGCCTGCTTTCTACCCACTTTCAAGACCCAGCCCTGAAGTCTGTTCTTAAGCAAGTCTTCCCAGTTAATTCCACAAGCTAAACCTTGATTTCTAAAAAAAAAAAAAAACCACAACAAAATTACAACTGGTATTAGTAACCAGAATTTTAACACATAGAGAACGTCTTCACAAATAACCAGTTTCCTTCCTTAAAACTCTAATGACTGGTGAATATGCTACTGATAACTCATTTAAAAGATTATTAACCATTTCAGAATCTTTCAGAATGATTTCAAAAGGTGGCATCATTTTTAAATGGCATCTTTCTGACAGAGAAGACTGCAGAGGAATCGTGGACGTGGAGTTATTTCGCCTAAGTTTCACTGATTGAAATGAATTGGGGAACAGGTTTAACTTCAAGGAACTCCACTTGACTATTTGATCATCAGTGGACAAGGCACACGGGATTATCTTTGTGTCTCCTGGTGCTAAGGCACCAAACCTCGTCTTTCTGCCAGCCATTCCTTATCTTTGTGGCCTGTGTTCACCTGATGATAGACAACTGTTCTTCAGCCTTTCAGCTGCCTACAACATGGGCCAATACAAGTTTTTTGCATCTAGCAAGAAGATGGCAAAACAACAAAGCAGAACTATAATTTGCTTTTGTATCTGGAGTTACTAGCAGAAAGTGCACATTCACATGGCACACAGCACACATTCTCTCTCACAAGGTGTAAACAGCAGGATCCCCATGGCTATGTCTTTTCTCTCCACGATATAATGAGAGTGCAGAGAAAAACACAGCTCAAGATAAATACCAGGTCCTTTATTCTTGGTCGTACTGGTCTTGGCCATTCCGAGGTACACAGAGACACATATTTAAAAAAAAAAAAGAATGCTGGATCTTTCACGGAAAGTAATTACCACTCTCTGAACTCCCACGAAAATGCAGACTTACACCCTATCAACATCATCAGTTGATTAGATCTCGTCAGATTCACACTGAACAAGTCTTCCACTTAATTCAAATATGCCTGTACAATGAGGACATGTAGTGAAACATTTCTGGAAATTGTCTGAAAACTGGAGTGTATTGATACATTAAATGCAGAAGTTTTCATATACTTAATCACAGCACAAATAAGCAACTCTACAAAAAAAGTAAATCCGGAGTCACTTTATTGTTAAAATTAAATAATGCAGTTTTAGTATTAATTGCAAAAAAAAAAAGTTTCTGCCTTCTTGCTGTCTCACAATGAATTAAATACAATACAAATGCAAAATCAGTAGTACTCAAAAAAAGTGAAGGTTACTAACCTACCTTTAAAATCAAGTTGAATGTTAAAGCCCTGGTAAATAAGTGGCTATGACATTTAACAGCATTCTAAACATTACGTATGGCCTGCCCAGACCACTGGTCCCAACTCCCAAAAATGCAGCTCTGCCATCTAACTGAAAATATTAATAGAAAACTAGAACAAAAAAAAATGGTTGTTACCTAAACAGTCAATTTGGTGAGAATTTGGCCTTGCTTCCGTGAAGTTTGCTATTTCATTAACTGGTTCACAAAGGACTTAAAGTGAGGTCTTGGAAATTAAGGGGCCAGTAGATAGAACCTAGTCATTTCTTGAAAGAGCTCAACTCCCAACAGAGCTTCTGTGTTGTATTCTACCTGTTTTCCCATCAACTGGGAGTTGCAGAGTTGTAACTACACTTACAGTTGGATTACAAGAACCATCTAGCAATGACAAGAGCAGCTCTTCCCTATGTGCACAGGGTATGTAAGAAATAACTTTTTAATATGGTGAAGCATTATGTATTACTTATGCTGGTGTAAAGTCCTAGCAGAGGCAAAAACTTTGGGGAGGGATACGGGATTGTTTCGGTCGAGACAACTAGGCAAGGTCATTACTGCATTCACGCCTGCCTTAGTTTACCCGACACTAATATTGAAGCATTTTTCTACTGGGATAATTCAAGAAGAAATAGACAGGGAACTATTTTTAGCAGTGAAGACGCAGAATGTTTTCAAAGTGTCCCAGTAGACAGCAACAGATTGCACGCAGTTTGAAGGCACCAACAGGCTGCTACCTGTGTGAAGAAAACAGAAATAGCCACCACCTCAGTGTATGGCTACTGCTGGAAACAAAGGAACAACCTAAAGGGGACTACTGTTGTAAGAACCACACTGCGATCTATATTGGCTACTTTTCACAGGTTTGGTGCATTGGATAGAATTTGCCCACCAAAAAGGCTGCTTTGTTCAGCATTTTTTAGTTTGGGCTGACGTCAGACAGCTTGAACCCTTTGGCACAGATGCTGGGACGGCGGGCTACTTGTTTGCCACGAAGGTTCATTGCCTTTAACTTGTCCTCTCCAGCACACAACGGTTTGCGCCAGTGAAAGCAGTATTTATGTAGGTCAGTACTCTCTGCTTTGGAATTTACCCTTTGTCAATCCATTGACTGGATGGATGGAGAAGAAATTAATGTTCTATCCCAGAAACTCCAATCTCTGCCCCAAGTGATCGGAAAAGGAGTCAGTCTCGTGACAGATCTTCTGCAAAGATAATAATTTTCTTGCCACAGATCTGGGGAAGGGTTTGGAATCTCAAAGAAGTGTCTTTCTACCTATCAATAAACTTTTGTTCTGAATAACAGAGCATTGATATACGGCTCCCATCAACCCAGGACTTTAGATACCAGGGGCAGGGGGGGCAATTCTAGATGTATGTAGACTTTTTGACATCTACATAAACAAAG